CATGATTTTTAAAACTCGGCGAAGTAGCTGTGCCCAGGGTCTGTGAGCCGGGAGGCTGGTCGGTGGGTTTCCTGCAGGGACGACCGCTTCAGAGTCCTTCTTGCGCACAAGCATCCTATCTGCTGGCCCTTCCTACCAGTTCTCTCTGCAAAAGGAGCCCGCCCACTCATCTACACCATTTTCTCCCCTGTGAGAACTGTCTGAGAGCAGAAGACGCCATCTCATCCCTCTGTGAACCGTCAGGCAGCTGGTTCAGGAGCTGCCACAGCCCAGGACTGCTGTGACGGACAAGGTGTTATAAAGCCCACATCTATTCCAATTGGTTTCCACTGTGATTTCAAAAATTAAGTTACCAGGGCAAAAGTCTTACTTGTCATCAGATGATTCCTACAGTCTCCAGGGGTGGACAAGATGTTCCCGAAGCTCTCAAGCTTGTTAAAAGTACACATAGGTTAGCAGGGGAGCCAGCCCCTTCCCAAAGCTGCTCCCAGCACCCAGAAGCATGGAGCCGGCAGAAGCGCTTTGATCTTGACTAGGCTCCTAGGACTCGGGCTTCTGCAGGTGGGTGAGGCCGTTGTGTTTTAGTGCCATCGAATCAGTTCTGACTCATAGCAACCCTGTGTAGTGTTTCTGAGGCTGTAAATGTTTCCAGGAACACAAAAGCTCCTCTTTCTCCCTCAGAGTGGTTGGAGGACTTGAACTGCTGACCTTGCAGTTAGCAGTCCAGTACTTATCCTACAGCATCACCAGGGCTCCTGATAGACTACAATAGTGTATAAATACAACTTTTCCATGTGTTAGGAAACCCATAACTGTGTGTGTCTTGCTTTATGGCGATATTCACTTGACTGCGGTGCTTTGGCACTGGACCCCCAGCCTCTCCAAGGTACACAGGTAACTATGGAGTCTCTGTCTGTCCCCGGGGCCTTCTAAGGGTGTCCCCATGCAGAGCAGGCTCTGCATCAGCAGTCAGTGATCTGGACACATTTTCCCATAATGACAATATATAAATCAGCGGTAGATCTCAGAGCAGGCGGTAAGCTCAGATGGACATTCAAGAGATTTCAGAAGTAGAGGATCACACAGTTCTTGTCAGACTTTCCCGAGATAACGCAGAACAACTGACCCGTCTGAAGTGCACGATTCGGTCCCTTTCAGTATGTTCACGAAGTTGGGGGCTATGGGTGGTGGTGTGTGTCGCTGAGCCAACTCTGACTCACAGCAACCCTACAGTATAGGCTGTACTCTTTATGGCAGCAAACCCCCTCATCTTTCTCCCAGAGGGACGGCTGGTGAGTTTGAACCCAGATCTTTTGGTGAGTAGGCCAGCACTTTAGCCACTGTGTCACTAGGGCTCCTCATTAAGCTAACCCCTTACTGGAGGGAGTGGCGGGAGATGGACACCCCAACCCCACCCCCTTTCTCCCTAATGGCTGGCAGGTGAATGAACTCAGACCTTTCTGGAAGGTTTGTACATCCAGGGAAATACTCAGGCCCCTTGTAACCATGGCAATGAGACGATATACGATAGAAAGAATGTAAGACTGATGTTCTCCCATGTAAACTATCACATAATTCACAATAAAACATAAAAAAAAAGAAATACTCAGGCCCCTTCAACTGCAAATTAGCAGTCTTAGATTAGCCTCAGAAAGGGGCAAAGATGTAAAAAAAAAAAAAAAAAAAAGTCTACAAACCTGAAAATATATTGTTCATTAGGTTATAAAAGGAAAGTATAGACAATGTCAATATGTCCAACACTAGAAGCTGACTTAAGTCAAACATGCTACATCCATATGATGAAATACTATCCAGTCATTCAAATGTATTTTCCAACCAATACTAGCACTTGGGAAATGTTAAGAGCTAGCAGCCAAGCATTTACTGTGCCATCAGGGTGCCTTCGCGGAACCACTGCTGCGATCTATTCCAGAACAGTTTTACCACCCTCCCTCCCCATCAGCAGCCACGCCCCTTTCTCCTCCCACCAGTCTGCTGGCTGCCTATCTCTCTGGGTTTACCCAGCACGGGCATTTCCCAGACGTGGGTCCGTTTACATCCGGCTTCTTTCACTGGGTACATGTTTTCAGGGCTCACCGGGTTACAGCATGAATCAGTGCTCATTCCCCTTTTGTAAGTCTTTAACAAGGTCAGACTTTTTACGTCAAATGAAATTCCATGTCTAAGCACTAATCTGAAGGGGAGAGTCAGAACTGCCCAAAAGATCTGCGTGCGAGTCTGCAATACAACATTATTATAACACCAAGAAACAGAAAACTTAACGAGACCCAAAAGACCAAACCAGACCTACTGCCATCGAGTGAATCCTGGCTCACGAGCAGTAACAGCTGGTTAACCAGACCTACATGTCTTTAGAAGACTCTGCAACCGGTAATAGAGTTTGAAGGCTGTTATATAAAGAGAAGCCCACTGCTAGGTGTAAATGACACAGTGTATTAGGTAAACCTGTTGCACAAGACCTCTTTAAAGGGTTGAAGCGTAAAGATGCCAGTTTGAGGACCAAGGTGCACCTGACCCAAGCCATTGTGCAGGCTGCCAAATTTAAGGTGTGGGCTAGCTGTGAAAGTTGCTGTTGTTATGTGCTGTGGAGTTGGTTCCGACTCATAGGGACCCTGCATATAGGGTTTCCGAGGCTGTAAATCTCTACAGGAGCAGAAAGCTTCATCTTTCTCCTGCAGAACCGCTGGTAGTTTCGAACTGCTGACCATGAGATTAGCAGCCCGATTTGTAACCACTAAGCTACCAAAATAAACTCAGGAAGTCAGAAAACAAAAAAAACCCACAAACGATCAAAAGTTCTGTAAGAAGTAAACGTTTTAGAAAAGCATCGATCAGAGCACAACGTCCCAGGAAAACCTTCCTGTCTGGTGGTTTAGAGTAAGTTCTCTCAGACACTCAACAAACAAGTGATTCCCTCAACCTGTCCTCTTGTTGTGACTGCTGTTAAGAGCTGTCAAGTTGGTTCTGACTCATAGCGACCCTGTATGGGGTTTCCAAGGAACAGCTGGCGAGTTTAAACCAAAGACCTTGCAGTCCAGTGCTTATCCTACAGCGCCACACCACACCACAACTTGTATTAAAGCCAAAAGAAAAACGAAAACCAACTGTCGTTGAGTTGATTGGGACTCATAGCGACCCTGCATGACAGAGTAGCAGGTTCACAATGTTTCCGAGACTGGCATCTTTACGGAAGCAGACGGCCACGTCTCTCTCCTGCGCAACGAAAGGAAGGTTCAAACCATCAACATTTTGGTTGGCAGCTGAGTGCTTAAAAACCATGGAAAGTGACAATTATTTTGCATGTAACCCTAAAATCCAAACATGACAAAAGTCATTACCAATCTCCAAGAAAAGCACACACACACACACACACTGGAAAACCCTAAATATAAAATTGTTGTTGTTGTTAAGTGCTGTTGACTCAGTTCCAATTCATAGCGACCCTATAAAGGGTTTCCACAGAGCAGTTGGTTCAAACCTGTGACCCATCGACTGTGCGCTTAGCAGTCCAGTACTTAACCAACAACACAGTGAAATTTCACATTGCCAAAAGCAATTTATTATTGGGAAATTAATCTATCACAAATAAATAAATGCAAGTAGAACACCTAAATGAGTGCTCAGAAATCCAATTCTTGTTCCTCTTCAAAACTACAAATCAAAGTACAGTACACACATTTACGTGGGTAAAGATACCTATTCTTGACCAGTAAGTAAAAACACAATATTAATGGGGAAAAAGTAAAACAAGGAATAAAGTAAAAGAGGCATCAGAAAGTCTGACCAATTCAGGAAGTCACGAAGACAAACCAAGAACACTTTTACTCCTACCATTACAAACTAAATGTTCAAATAGAAGAAAGAAGCCCCCCTTTGTACCAGTCATAATGCAAAACAAAAATTAAGAAATATAAAGAAAAACAAAACAAAATGAAATCTAAGTACCTAAAGCTAATAACCCTAACCGCAATTGCAGGCACTAGACCTGAAGCTAATTACTCAACTTTGCCATGTTATAAAAGAATAACTGGAAAATAACTGAAAATTTCACTGCTATCATAGTCTTACCTAGCCCCTTACCCAGGTAGTTCTGAAGTTGACCCCTGAAGCCCAATTTACCAAGTCAGACATGACAATTCTACGAGGCCATTATGCGAGATGATGGACGTTTGTGTCAGCTAACATGGGAAAATGCCCACAGGAAATTGTCAAGACAGAAGAACAAAGAGGTACAAAACAAACGAATCAGTAGCCTTTCACAGTGCATACATGTAAAGACAAATCAGTGGCCATCAGCCAACTATGACTCGTGGAGTCCCCATGCGTGTCAGGGTTGAACTACGTGCCATGGGGATTTCAGTGGCTCAAATTTCAGAAGTCAGTTGCAGGGTGTCTCTTTCACAACACCTCTGGATGGGCTCAAACTTCCAGGTTCTGGTTAGCAGCTGAGCACATGAACCATTTACACCTGGCAGGGACACATACATGAAAATACAGAAATTAACCCTCTCAAATAAGCAGTTAGTTACTTCCGGGTGGTGAGTGAGATCTTGTGATTTCTTCCCCACCCCACTTTTTTTGCTGCAGATTATATGCACTTAGAATTCTTGCAGAAAGCATTGCAACTTTTATAAATTTGGGGGGCAAGGGAGAGTTTAAGAGTGAAAAAGGAAAAGACATACACGTGCCAAATGGTTAATCTTGTTACATGTCAAGATCAAGGTTGTTTTCTTATTGCTTCAACACACTTTTGTGTCCAAATGTTCTACGGTAATCATGAAAAACAAATCAACGTAAAGTTCACATTTTGATTCTGCACGCCAAGTCTGGTTTTCAACATTAAATCCAAGTTTATCAGGAATGAACAGTTCCACTCAGAGAAGAGGGTGAAAATCTGACACGCTGCTGTACTCTCATTCAAAGAAAGCAAGACGGTCAAACGGTCAACAAGTAAGAAAGGTGTACACCACCACACTTACCGTGAAGCTGTTGTTCACGTTTTTGGTGCTGGACTCGGCCACACTTGCATCTGTTAAATCCACCTCATCAAAAATGATGGACTAGGGAGACAAGTACAGGGAGGGGGAAAGGTCAAGACCCCGGCACCTGTAGGGCAGGCAAGAAGCCCAGACCTGGGCCCCATGCTGCCTACCACTCCCCCACCAAGCCCTGAAGGACACCCAAAGGCCCTGACACTGTAGCATCTTGTCCACCCTGTGGTCTTACAAAGCGCAGACAGCTAGCTCACAAGCCCAGGTCCACGTGGTTTTGTTAATCCAGGAAAATTCACCAGTGACTGTCACTGCCAACACCCAACCAAACCAAACCAATTGCGGCTCACGGCGACCCCGCAGGACACAGCAGAACTGCCCCCTAGGGTTTCTGAGACTAAAATCTTTACTAGAGGAGACTGACTGTCTCGGCTCTCTTCTCCCCAAAGAATGCCATCAGGGCTCCAAAATAACCGGGAAGACTGTGATAAAGTAAGGGAGGTGGGCAGAACACTTTCTAAACAAGTTGTGTTGTTCATCTGTAACTTTTAATGCACTGTATCTCTCTAAGGACGGTTCTGGATTTGGTATCACCCACCCCAGCCCCCCACCCGAAGACCTCACCTTTGCAGTTTTTGCGTAGTACAGCGTCCGTCCCCGAAGCTTGAAGTATCGCCTTTTTGATCGCTGGAATGAATTGTTCTGTTTGGTCAGCATCCCTTCTTTGATGATGGTCTGGAAGGAAGAGATGTGTTCAGAGCCACATGTGTTCAGCACCCCACCACCTGTCCTACCACCCAGACCCCACAAGCGCTGCCCTGGTCAAGTGTGGCCCGGGGACAGAACACCTGCTTGGACGTGTCCAGGGTTGGGGAGCAGAAGGGGAACACTGCGACCGTAGTAAGCAGTCGCAGTGAGGATGACAGTGAGGCATGAAGGCACATTCCCACCATCCATATGTTTCAGCTATTCTCAGCTCAGTCTCCTACTCTGGCCTCCTGCCATTTCTTAGAATCTGTTGCCAAACCCGTCTGCACTCAGGGCTCTGGGGTTGGCTGCTCATGCCCTCCCTGTTACTCCAACCATACGCTGTACGTGTACATGTGTACGCGGCTCCCGGGCTGGCCACTCAGACCCTCAGCGTCACTCAGTCACACCCTGTACATGTACCTGTCTGTGTACACGGCTCTGAGACAGGCCACGCGGGCCCCCACTATTACTTGGCCTTCACTACACAGTGAAAGAAAGAAACATCAAAGCCAAGTTCACACAAGCTCACCCGCTGCATCCCACCAATCTGACAGACTCCACGGTGGCATGGGAGAAGTTGTTCTTAGAAGAATCCAGAAGCAGGTAAATACCCCTCACCTTGGCTCAATTAAATCCAAAAACGGGAGCAGGCCCAGCCTTCGTTCATCCAAATCCCATGTGCTGGCCAGCTAATAGGACGAGAGCCCACAGCCCACTGAGAAGCTAAATTCCTGAGGAACCACACGACCATCACATGTTCTGACCCCTCCAGAGCTCCTAACTGTCAGGATTAACAAACCGCATCTGTGAAAACAAGTACCTGCTCTCAGCATTCACACAGTGCTGCTCCCCACCTGACAGAAATGTCTCATCCTAGAAATCTGTTCAGAGGCAAGAACACTGGTCCAGAGAAGCTTCTGTCTAGTTACCTAATCCCTAGAGCTTTGCATGTTAGGTCACTTTTTCTTAAAATATCTATACTTAGCTATCTGTGGCCACTTAAAACTACATAAGATAAAACCAACGCAAAGCTCACCCAGAAACCACATCTCACCCAAGTGCATTATCTGAATGCAAGTGGGGACCACTGGTCCTTCAATCGTCCTATTCATAACAGAGGAGGGGCAAGCGCAGGACACACAGTGCACAGTGATTATACTTACAGAAGAAGCTGGGACCAGTCCCCTACAACACACACACACTTCATCAACACAAACACACCTCAGTCAATGCACACATCCATCAACACACAGACACACCCTGTCAAAACGCACACACATCAACACATGCAGTCCGTCAACACACATGATCAACATACACACACACACACCTCATCAACTTAGACACACCCTGTCAATACATACATGCACCGCATCAGCACACACATGCTTATTGTTGTTGTTGTTAAGTGCCGTCGAGTCGGTTCCGACCCATAGCGACCCTGTACAGGGTTTCCAAGGGTGTAAATCTTTACGGGAGTAGAAAGCCTCATCTTTCTCCCGCGGAGCGGCTGGTAGTTTCAAACTGCTGACCTTAAGGTTCGCAGCCCGATTCGTAACCACTACGCTACCAGAGCTCCTTATTAACATGCTTATTAACAACGTCCATATACAGAAGCCATCAATAAACATACACACACTCCAACAACACACAAACCATCAACACTGACAATATAAACCCTGTCACAGCACACACACACACACACACCGACAACACACTGACGCCCATCCACAACACACAGCACAATCCACTCTATGCACAGCAGCTGTGGGCTAACCTAGAACCCAGCCGATCATCGAGTGTCCTGGGCTGGGTGGGCTTCACATTTCAACACTCACACAACACTTACAAGATGCTCAAGGGTCCACCTTCAGGCCAGTTATGATGGACCGTGTGGCTTTTACTTCTGGCCTAGTGATAACCAGAGCAGCTCCTGCCAGCTCCCTGAGGATCCAGACCAGGAAAACACCCTCAGGTGGCTACCTTAACCTTTCTTCTGTGGTCGGGAAAGAGTGCCAGGAGGAGAGAAGCGAGGACCAACACGATCTGACCTTCCAGGAGACTTGAAGCACACACCATTCACAGCCCTGGCCAGATGGGGCCCACACATGAAGTAACTTTCTAGCATGCAGAACACTGCTGAGCCAAGGTGGAGAGAAAAGCCCACCTCGGGGCCCAGTACCTTCTGACACAAGCCAAGGGCAGCATGCAAGGGTTACTGGGATTGTATCCCCACCCATGTGCTCAGACCCAAGCCCACACAGGCTGGCTTCACAGACACAGAATGCTAATGACCCATGGGAGCTGGGGACAGACGTCACTACATCCTCTCCTTCTTGACCTCAGAGAACCCGCTCGGCCCAGAAGCCTGACCCCAGCAGCACGGCTCCCGCACTCCTGCAGGGGCCACTCACCTCCGTAGGGGAAGTCATCGTTTCTATCCTTTTCCTAAATGCAAATTATTGCTTTTTAAAAAAGGCAGCAAAACCAACAAGCCATGGAACCAAAACCAGTTAGTTGTAAGCTATTTTTAAAGGATAAGAGCTAGAGTATTTGCTCTTGCATCTCGCGCCACACCACGAACATGTCAACGAAAAGCAAAATGAAAATACAGCCCACCCCGCTGCACACACTCACACACTCACAAATCTTTCAGAGAGCGGATGAGAGCCTTCGATGGAGCTAACCAAGGAGAGCTGGGTTCTATTTATAGCACAAGCGCACAGAAAAAGACTCTCCAGTGGGTTTCAGCGGAAGAGGCTGGGGACAGATAAAGACCAGTACTTCTTTGAAGTTTTCTCAGAAACGGCATTTCTTCCCCTGGTTCGCGGTGCGTGGATACTATAAACAAGCTGAGGAGTATTTTTAACCACTCCAGCAAAGGCAAGGGGCTACAAGCAGTCAAAAGAGCAACGCCCAGAACACTCAACTGTTTTGCGCTTAGCATCCATGAGAGGTGCCCACAGGAAGCTCAGCTGGCATGGGCCTTGCTGGCTCACCACCATCCCGCCCCTCCCCCCCCAGAGCAGAAAATCAACAGCCAGGACCCCAGGCCCAAGCACACTTGCCCTAGACTGCCAGACCTTAGGGTCCTGTCAGCAGGTCTTTGTTCAAACAAAAGGACCAACTCTGCCGTCCTTCCCAGATTGCGGCTAAACCCAGTGCCATTGAGTCGAATCCAGTTACACGTTACTATTATATATTGCATGTGGACTCCTGGGGTAGCACTGTAGGATGAGCACTGAACTTCTGAACTGCTAACCACAAGGATGGCGGTTCAAACCCACTAGCAGCTCCTCAGAAACTCTACACAGGGCTGCTAGGAGTCGGAACAGACTTAACAAAAACACTTAACAAAAACAACCATAAAGGAAAAAGCAAAGCTGATCAATAAAAGGATAGGCAAAATCGCTGGCACTGATGTGGTTAGTGTATCATGCAGGCTAAAGCACATTTTTTTGTTGTTAAGTGCCATCGAGTAGGTTCCGACCCATAGGGACCCTGTATGGGGTTTCTGAGGAACAGCTGGTGAGCTTGAACTGCCAACTTGCAGTTCAAATGGCTTTGCAGTCTGGCGCATTAACCCACAGCGCCACACCAGAAACTCCTACACATTTATTTGGTTAAAAAAAACAAAACAAAGAGTAAAAATAACTGCTGCAAAGTAGCCAACTAGTGAAGAGAGAGGGCACTGAGGCATGCCGATATGTCCAGGAAGAGCCAAGCTGCGGACACAGTGCCCACAGCCTCCCTGTCAGCACCAGCACCAGCCTGCTCAGGGACCCCAGGGCTGGACCAGACACACAGTGGAAAGGGGACAGAACTGGGCCAAATGCCACCTTCAGGCCTTAAATCTTGTTCGTCCTTCGACAAAAAGGTCACCTAAGCCTGATTACGGTGAGCAACATTCCCTCCCCAACCTCCCCAAAAGAAGCGAAGAGATTCGCAGAAAAAGTTAAAAACTAAAGAACTATGGCAATGCTTCAGAGGAAAGAAGTTGGTACAATTATTACTTCAGATTCACGTCTCACTAGAAATTCTCTTGAGTACTTTTGTAGTATCTGTTCGCCATCTCACTAATACAGCCTATGTGGTGGAGAACGGTCTCTAGTGTCCCAATCGACAGGTAACAGACCGTCCAGAGTGAATCAGCTAAGAGATTTGCTCGCAAACCATAAAGCACCTACAGCACACTCAAATACTTCTCTTGTACGTATGAGCCATTTTCACACTTTAATTCTCACAGTCATTTTGGAAATCAGTAGAAACAGTCCCAGATTATAGATTAGGAACCTGAAGGTCAGAAGAGTTAAGTGACTCAGTCAAGGCCACACAGCTAGCCAATGGTGCATCTGGGCCGCAAACCTAGGGCCTAGAGAGCTGCCAAAAATATCTGCTTAGCCCAAAAGTCTACTGATAAGTGACTTCAATCCGTTGTTGTTAAGATCTGCCGAGTTGGTTCCAACTCATATCGACCCTGTTTCCCAGGAGCGGCTGGTGGATCTGAAGTGCCGGCCTTGTGGTTCAAGCCGACCTTGTGGTCCAGAGCTTTATACTATAGCACCACACCAGGACTTAGTTAGGCAAAGGTAAATTCCCTCATTATTCAAAATACTACCCAAAAATTCAGCAGGTTTTTGAGGTGCCTAGAGCTAACGATAGTGAGGTTGGCCCAGGATTGGGCAGTGTTTCGTTCTGCTGTGCATAAGGTCACTATGAGTTGGTACCGACTTGATGGCACCTAACAATAACAAAGAGCTACAGTGTGGAGCTGTAAGATGAGCACTGGACTGTAGTAATCACAAGGTTGGCAGTTCAAACCTTCTAGCTGCTCTCGGAAAACTATACAACGTTGCTCTGAGTCAGAACCTACTTGGCAGCACATACCAACAACAGAACTACAGTGTGACTCAGAAGCGACCCGATGGCTTGCAACCACAGACACATCTACCGACCGCCTGGAATAATCACACCAGCAAGGAAGGAAGTCTGTACATCTCTAACCACAACAAACTGGTCTGTACATTCATGTCTCCACAGCACCAAAAGAGGGTAAACCAAAGCATGCATGGGTGGAGAATTCTCAACTACTGCTGCTCCCCGAACCCAGAGGCACCACCATGAGATTCCATGCAAAAAACCCACCGCTGTACTGCCAGGTCAGCCGCCAGTCACAGCAGAAACGTGCTCCAGAGGCTGCGCAGTGGCTGAGTTTTCACACGGGGATCACCAAATCTTTCTTCCAGGGACTACAAAAACACGAGCTCACGGAAGAAGGGCAGTCATTCTTTTCTTACCTACTAAGAGGACTCCAAGGAGCTCTGGTAGCATAGTGGTTACAAATCGGGCTGCTAACCTCAAGGTTGGCTGTTCCAAACTACCAGCCATTCTGTGGGAAAAAGATGAGCCTTTCTGCTCCCGTAGAGATTTACAGCCTCGGAAACCCTGTGCAAGGTCGCTATGACTCGGAATCTACTCCACGGTACTTAACAACAAGAGGACACCATGTCCCTTCTGCCATTACCTGGTCTTTCTCCTTCAATTTACTGCCACCAGGATTACAAGGGACTGTGACCCAGAGTTCTGATGCTAATAAAGACATCCTTGATCTCTGCTGAGATGAGAGAAGATCTGACGAAGGACCAGCCATGGAAAAGCAAAACGGGGCCCCAAAATGTTATGAGCTGCTCCTAGGTCTGCCCTTCAATTTGAGTTCACACCTGCTTTCCCTAAAGTCAGGGGCATGTCTGCTACTGTAGGGATCCTTGGAAGCACAGTGAGTAAGCATTTGCCTACTAACCAAAAGGTCAGTGTCGAACCCACAAGCACTCAGCAGGAGAAAGAAAAAAATTCTTTAATTATTATAAAGACGATTGTTGTTAGGTGCCACTGAGTCAGTTTCGGCTCCTGGTGACCCTGTGCACAAGAGAACAAAACACTGCTCCGTCTTATGCAACACCCTCACGATCGTAACGAGGTTTGAGCCCCTTGGTGCAGCCACTGTGTCAATCTTATCGCATTGGGGTCTTCCTCTTTTAAGCTGACCCTCTAACTTTACCAAACAGGGTGGGTGATACCCTTATTAGAATGCTGCTGCGGTTATGTGCCGTGGAGTCGGGTCCGACTCACAGTGAGGCGTTACGTCTTTACGGGAGCAGAAAGCCTCGTCTTTCTCCCGCAAAACCGCTGGCAGTTTCGAACTGCTGACCGTGAAATGAGCAGCCCAACTCGTAAGCACTTGGAAACCCTAGGGAACAGTTGTTCTCTACTCTACAGGGTCCATAGCAAGGCGTCTTCTGCGACAGTGACACAGCCCCCATGCTGACTCCCTCCCTTCCACCATAGGCGTGAGGGGGCACTGTACACAGTCTGGCCAAGCATCACAGTTCTGACCCCTCAGTCCGAATCAAGGAGACGCAGCAGAAATCGTGTTGGGGAATAAGGAGGTGGGGAACACATGTGGCTTTAACTACCTCTGTCTTCTCAACTGGACTGTAGACACAATGCCCAGCACTGTAGCAGCTATGTTGAGGCCAGGAGGTAGAAAGTCAGCAGCTGAAAGATGGTGGAGCACAAAGACTGAAACATCAGGGCCCCGATGACATCAGTGTGCTGCCAAATGTAGTCCTGCCTGCTAAAGGTGGACTAGCTCAGTTGGTGGCTCTCTGGTCATCATCACTGACTACACTAATCCAGCACTAAATACTGATATCCCTGGTCACCCTTCACCTCAAACTGGCCTCTTCAACAACTCCTTCCTCTCCAACCTGCTCCTTGGTGCTACAAGCTGACTCACAGCAACCCCATGTGACAGAGCCGAACTGCCCCCTGGGGTTCCCTTGACCATCTGCTTTACGGATTAGCAGCTGAGGGCTCACCCGCTGAGCAGTCAGGACTCAGAAGGCAGGAAGGGGTAGGAAAGGATGAATGGACACGGGAAACACAGGGCGCGAGTGGAAAGGGCGCTGTTACGTGGCGGGCATTGTCGTCAATATCACACAACAAAATGTGTCTGAGTTGTTGAATGGAAAACCTATTTGCTCTGTAAGCTTTCACCCAAATCAAAATAAAAGGTTTTTTAAAAAGGTAGAAAATGTTTACAAATTAAAACTAAACTCTCGTCATCAACAATGTCTTGGTTCCTTGATGCTGTTACAGCAGAAATACCACAATCATAAACAGACATTCCTTTTCTCACAGTTCAGGTGGCTAGAGGCTCCAGAGGAGGGCTCCCTGGTGGCTCGGAGGGGAGATCCTTGCCTAGTATCCTTGGTGATCTCCAGGCAGCATCTGTCCTTCCTAACTCATCCTGAAAACACACCCTATACCCACCCATACAACCTCCTTAACACACTAAACAATACCAGACTCTAACAGAGGAAGACAAGGGAACGGATAGGGTTTAGGCTTTACAAGACATGTTTTGGGAGTC